TGATGGATTACAGACAGTATGTATACCATCTACATTTAACTAAACAAATGCTCTAAAAGGTTACAAGTTAAGGTTGTTTATGAGTTGATGAATTTAAATGGAGAAATCACAGATGAAGTCCAAAATGAGTGTCTTGTCTTCAAATGAACACTCTGACATAAATATTATTTGTATTTAGCAAAAAGACTGCATTTATATGCTGCGTTAAAACTAAATTATTAAAATACTTTTAATTAAATACATTATCAATAAACAAATATCTAATGTCTCTTAACATTAAATTTGATTTTTTTTCAGAATGAGAAAAATGTGACATCTGATTTTACCTGTGTGATTGACATGTTTATCTATATTTTTTAATATGTATGTATATGTATGCATGTATATATATAGAAATTTTTATTTTATATTTATGAATGTTAAGACTTTTTTATTATGTATGTAAAATTTCTGAAATTTTTTTGTTCGCAAAAAAATTAAACTATTAAAAATTGTTTCAAAAAACTCCAAAAGACCACCAATTTTTATGTTGTCCAAAAAACCTTTTTTATCCCCTAGAACGGTCTAACGGCGCCCCCTAAAACAATTAAAATATATATATATATAAGGTTAAATTACTGAAGGCAACCCCGGTCGCCCCTATTTATTGACTTGGCCCCTCCGCGACACTAAACTTCAATCCGCCACTGATTCCAGGTGGTATTTTATTCTTTCTAGTTCCTTAGTTTTAGCACCTATACTGTTTCATTCTTTTTAAAAACTTCTAATAGTTTATTTTCTGGATAGATGTTTTGCTGCTAAATTAAAGCTTCCAGAAATGGACTATGTTTAGGCTATAAATGGGCTACTCAATTATATGATGTCGGCATGCAATTAGCAAGCAATAGACATTGAATTCATTTTTTTAAATATTTTAATACAAGGATTTTATCATCTTCCCAAATCAACCAAAGTTGCGTCAAAGCAGACACTTAATTTTGTCTTCTAAAACAAAAAGTCAATTCAAATAGAGTGATTTTAATTAACCACCAAAATCTATTGGAGGAATGAAACAGTTTTGTTTTCTCACTAAAATTCTACTAAAAATGAACTTCTATTCTTTATTAAATTCTTCCACTATTTTGTTAATTATTTTTCTAGCAAAGTGTATGGTCATGAGTGAATCTGATACATGTTAAACTACATGTCCCCTAAGTGGATCAATAAAAGTATATTTTCTTCAAGTTAGTTAAATGCTCCACAGGTCATTCTTTCTAATAAATTTCACATTTGCATAAAACCATTTTTTTTTTGAACTTTTAAGGAGATCTTCAATTTAACACCACGTTCAGCAATGATGTTTGTCCTTGGAATAAGAAGTGCATTACCTGCTTTGCTCCATTCTTTCATAAAGCACTTTAAAGCAACTGTACGCTTAGGTTCAGTCAATACATCTAGCATACGATCATACAATTTATCATCAAATAATTATTTGCTGAACCAAAGTTTTTTTACATGGATTTGCAATAAAGGTTGCTGCACTTCCAAGTTCACACCTCCATATTGGTATAAGAAAATAGGCAATAAGAACATATGATAAACTAGAGTTCCATCTTGCTTTGTGCAATGGAGGAAGCTTATGACTTTTTTTTTGGTAATCTTGTTTGATTCTTGAAGTAACAAAAACCTTCACATAACTCATAAAAGAATTTGAAATCATCTCGCCATCCTAGGTCTATGTAATAATTAGGCTCAGCTTCATATGTATAATTTATTTGAAGATTTTCATAACTTTTGGGTAAATCCTTTACAAATTTATAATCAAAATAAGGAGTTATTGATTTATAATTTACAAAATGATCCAAAACATGTTTTAAAATGAGATCTAGTATATGATGCACAATATTTAGGATGTCATCCTAAATATTGTGGTTTAGTAAAGCCTCTTACAAACCCTGACTTTTTAAGGATGTAATAAAACTTGTGTGTTAGTACTGTTACCAACTTCTAGGGAACTTAATAATTGTATGTTATAAGATTTTTCATCTAATAGACTATGTCTTTAATATTAGTGATATCAAAAAGATCTCCAAAAACAGAGCATTCTTTCTTTTCGCCAGGCTTTTTAAGATACTTATCATGCTTTTCTATAACCTTTTTAATTTTTTTTCCAATTGATTTTTTAGAAATACTTGGAAAGTTGTGTTTGTTCCATAATTTACATATTTCAACAGTAACTAACTTTACTCTTTCTTTTGCTGCTTTTTTCAATTGATGCCAGGTAGTTGTAACGTCCAATAATAAAAGTTTTTTTTTTGGATTCTATTATATTAATAGTTCAATTAAAGGTATAACAATTCTTGATGTTTTATGTTTTTTAAATGAAACTAAACTTTTTGCCTATACTCTTGAATATTTGTCAACAACAGTTGTGTTATATTTATTTGACATATTTGAAAAATCTAAAATGCATGGTTAATATATTTTAGTAATATTCTATGTTTTAATATTATTTTTACAAAAATATTTTTATTTAAAAATTTACTGTATTAAATATAAAATTAATTAAATAGGCATTTAAATGCAAAAAAATACATAGTAATGATTATGATAATGAAAATAGTTTTACTTAGGTGTGTTTTATGCTTTATATCTTATTTAAAATCAAATACTTAAACAATAGTCATAAAAACAACACAATAATTTTAATAACATAACTTACTTGTGTGTGGGCAAGGGACATATTTTACCTATATTAAATATTACTATGAAATTTTAATATTAACTATCAATATCTCAGGTTTTAAACTATGGCCAATTAAAACTGTAATAAAAGTCAAAAAAATCATAACCCTAATGTACAGTTTAAAAAATGTTTTTATTTTGCTAAATATTTATGAATTTTATGGTTTTTTGAAACAATTTTTAAAAGTTTCAACATTTTTTGAGAATAGAGCCCATTTTATTTAGATTAATTAAGTCTTTTCAAAACATAAATACAAAATAAAAACTCAAAAATGATATATATATATATAAATTTCTCCAAAAGTTGTATCACCGTCATCAAATGTCGAACTAACTGTCATGCATCATAAATATAATAATTAATTAACAAGCGCTACATTTAACTTTACAATTAAATTTTTATTTTTGATACTTAATTAATTGTTGAGATTAATTTAATGATCCCAGAATTGCTTTACAAATTGTCACGATCATTGCACAATTGCCTAAATCATTTTTTGGAGGTTTTGAGTTAAGAGTTAAAATGTATAGCTTATACAGTCTTCTATTATATGGCAAATCGCCTATGTCTTAAACCAATCGGAAAGCAGTTTATTTTTAATTTTTTCAATTCTGCCTAAATTCTGCCATTTGACTGAGGCGACTTGTTTTCTTCAACATGATTACTCATACCACGCCGCTTTTCTACCGTGATTTCGAAATCAGAAGAATACTGGATGAAAGTAAGAATTTTTAAAAATATTGATTAAAAATCAATGAAAAGAAATACAGAAGTTTTTCAGTTTTTTTTAGTTTTCTCAAAACAAGAAAAAATGACTTAGGCGATTGTGCTATGATCATGACAAAATGCCAAAATTGCTCATAAGAAACTTAAGTTCATTATAAGCGCAGGTTGTGATATAGGAAAAATTATTAACTTTAAACTATTAAATCAAATTAAAATTATTACGTTTGAATTATTGAGACCTTCCAAAGAAAAAATATTACTTTTATGCTATTATTTCCTCTGAAATATCCTTTATTTAATTTATTGTGTGTTAAGTTTGTTTTTCTTGTCAGTTTATGGTTTGTTTATTTCAAACTTTCTTTTTAAATTAGTTTAGTTTTTCAGCACATTTTTTAAATGCATAAATTATCAAAATATGCTAAAAATGTGGTCAGGTTTTAAAAAAAATATAAAAAATATATTGTATGCATGGTTATATATGGTATGCAACCACACTCATCTCCTGAGAAGGCTTGATATTCCAAACCCTCAATTGATGTAGCTGCACTCCTTTGTGGCAGCAGGCTACAAAATATATATATAACTTTGCCATAACAAATATCCTCATATATGTTGGTAATATGTTGGTAGCGCCTGACCAAACCCAATCATCAGTTTCTGAATATCCTAAAGCCCCGGCAGATGGATAATTCACTATGAGAACATCACTTAAATTATATAAAAGATGAAAAAAGTAAAACACTTTTAAATTAGCTCAAAGTTTATCTTTTATCTAATATATTTTTAAGTTACAAATATCTTTATATCTAAGTTTTTTTCATTACTTAATAATTTTTATTAACAAAAAGTTTTAATTTAAGATAATATACAGAAATTAATAAAAAGCTGGGTATATATATATATATATATATATATATATATATATATATATATATATATATATATATATATATATATATATATATATATATATATATATATATATATTCAAACATCTTGCTCTAAAGGAGACATTGATCTAGTGGGTGACATTGTAGCTTCATAATGTTGGTAGCTATCAAATGTGACATTGGGAAGACCTTTACCAGCCAATGTATGATACCTGAAGATATAAGCAATTAGAAATTATTTGCAATAAGTCAAGTGTAATCATTATACAAAATTAAGTTATCATTGTTTAAAGTCTTTTTTAACTACAATTGAAAATTTCTTAATTATTTCAATTTTTCTATAATATTTAAAAACAGTTATTGAATACTTACTTTTTTTTGTGTAAATTAATTTGTACATCAATCTTTGAAAGAATCCCAACAAAAGATGTAAAATCTGAACTTTGACTCGAAAAGTTCTCCTGATTACAATTTATTTCACTTTCATGATTGTTATAATTTTTTTCGTTTATATTTGAAGAATTCTTGAGCAATGGTTCATTTAAAGGTTCTCTTGAATAGTTACAAGTAAAAGACGATGAACAGGGAATAACTAATGTCTCTTTAAAATGAAGAAATTCATTTGTCCAAAGTTTGTTAACTCTTTTTAACTCTTCAATCTAAAAATAATTAGTTAAAAATCAAAAGTTTTACACACATACATACAGGCCTTGTTAAGAAGTGCTATGCAGCTTGCATTTAAAAAAAAAGGAAGTGCTTTTGTTTCAGAGAATTTCATATATATGTATTTAAAATTTTTCGATAAATACCTTATTGGTAACTAAAATCTATCTATAAATTGTTTATAATCTTTATTAAAAATATTAAATTAGATATATTTAAAAAAATAGTTGTGTTTATGAAAGAAACAAAAGATTATGTTATGATTGTTTTAAGAAAGAAAATTATAAAAAAATATAATCTTTTTCAAATACAGATTTTAGATTTACCCAGTTATATTAGTTATTAGTTCTAATGATTTTCAACATGGTTTAAAATTAAATTTAATTAAAATGCCATACTTAAGATAAGATTTTATTGCAATTTAACTTTTTTTTTTAACAATGTAAATATCAAAGCTGTGCTGAAAAAACCCGCATGGATGGTGTCTCTGTTTGTACTTTTGGTGTGCATTGCCAAAGCCACATTAAAACCCTTTGTTACGGCTTAGGGTTTATTAAAAGTAATGAGGCAATTGCTTGGGCTATTGAACAGTGAACTGAGTACTATCTATGTTTCGAGTTAAGTTCTTTAACAAATTTAAAATGAATAAAGTAACAAAAACCATAAAACACAAATAACCACTGTCATCACCAAGTTCGCTACACCTATCATTCACTAATATTAGTGGACTTCGAAGTAACTTTTCTTCTGTTGAGTCTTATCCTTTGCCAAGTTCACCAGACCTACTTGCTCTTTGTGAGACTAATTTAAATTAATTTTTAAATTAGTCTCACAAATTTTTTAAATTAGTCTCACGAATTCACCTATTTGTCGGGAAACTAGGTTTGAATTCATAGACTACTCTTTTATGTGCTTTCGTTTAACACCACTTCAATATATCACCTTTCTCTTTGCTCTATATTGCTTTCCTTCATCTCAAGATCTCATGATTCCTTCATCTCATCAGCAAAACAATTCTCCAGAAAACAGATGTCTGTTTATTACTGCTAGGAACCATTGTAAAAAGGTTTTGTCTATGCCAAAACCTGCTATTCTCATTTGAAATCTCATATTTCATCACAAAAATTAGGCTCTTGTGACTTCTGGAGAATCTTTAATAGTATCAATAATAATGGTAAGTCTGTAACTCCACCTCTCTTGTATGGTTCAGACTTTGTCACCTCACCTAAAGACAAAACTGAATTGTTTGCTAAGAACTTTTCATCAATATCATCTCTTGATTCCACTAGTTGAGTTCTACCTGATATAGCAGTCAAACAGGTTGATCCATTGCTTGACATTCGTATCACTCCAGCTTTTGTATCTAAAGTGATCTCCTGCTTTGACTTTTCTACAGCATGTGGCCCGGACAACATACCTGTTATTAGAATTTATTTGTTAGAAGTGTTCTCCGGAGCTGTGGCCTATCCTTTCAAAACTATTCAACAAGTGCTTATCAGAGTCTTGTTATCCAGCCTGTTGGAAAGCAGCATCTGTAATCCTTATTTTAAAACATTCTGGAGAGCAATCTGACTCGTCTAACTACCGTCCCATTAGTCTTCCTCCTATCATAAGCAAGGTTTTGGAATCTTTAATTAACAAACACTTAATCTCTTATCTTGAATCTAATAACTTACTTTCTGATCATCAATATGGATTTCGATCTTCTAATTTTATGGCTGATTTGCTAACAGTAATAGCCGATCGGTTTTATCGTGCATTAGATAAATTCTCTTGACATTTGTAAAGTGTTTGATAAAGTTTGGCATGCTGGTCTTCTCCATAAGCTATCAACTTACAGTGTATCTAGAAACATCTTTAAGATTATTGAATCCTTCCTTTCCAATTATAGTATAAAGTTGTCCTTGATGGACAGCACTCTTTTTCTTATTCTGCAACCTCAGGGGTTCCTCATGGTTCAATCCTAGGCCCTATACTCTTTTTAATTTACATTAACGATCTTTCAGATATTCTTACATCTAAGGTGGCATTGTTTGCTGATGATACGACCATTTATTCTTATCATGATAAGAAGCCAACTCTCTCTGATGAGGGGTCATTTGAACTTGAAAAGGATCTCACTTCTGCTCAGCATGGGGCTCAGAGTAGCTGGCAAACTTTAATTTGAATAAAACTCAATTTTTTCAGCCAATAGTTATTGCAATAATTTAGATCTTCCTATATTTATGAACGGTAATGTACTTGATAAGTCATCTACCCTTCATCTTCTAGGATTAACTCTTAGTTCTGATCTTTCTTGGAAACCATATATAAAATCCGTTGCAAAATTTGCATCTACTAAAGTTGCATCTCTTTATTGAGCTCAACACTTTCTTACTCTGGATTCTACTCTATCGCTATAAATCTTAAATCCAGCCTTGTATGGAATACTGTTGCCATATCTGGGGCGGATCTTCTAATGATGTTCTTTCTCTTTTAAACAAGGTACAAAAACACATTGTAAACATAGTTAGACCTGCTCTTGCAGCCAACCTTCAACCATTATCACATTGTCATAATGTTACTTCTCTTTCTCTTTTCTATAAATACTATAATGGGCACTGCTCTAAAGAGTTAGCATCTCTTGTGCCATTTACTAAAATTCACTTTTGTGTTACTCGTCATTCAATTAAGTCTCATCTTTTTTCTGCTACTGTTCCTAAGTGCTCCAAAAACTCTTATTCGTCTAGTTTTTTTCTTGAACATCAGTTCTTTGAAATTTGCTTCCTTTATCTTGCTTTCCTGATTCATATAATTTGCAATCTTTTAAATCATCTGTCAATCGTTATCTTGCTCTACAATCTTCATCTTTTCTCTTCCAGTAACTGCCAACACTAACTAGTGGTTGCTTGCAGCCTTGTTGTAAGTGAAGATGTTTAAAAAATAAATTAAAATTTATTAACGCTTTCGTTAAGCAATAAAATCACATAACAAGGCCTGTACATACATACACACATACATATATATATATATCTTTTTTTTAACCGCTAAAGTCTTGCTAAAATGTAATAAAAACAAATATTTTAACAATTTTGTACTTAATAAAATACTATCCTTTAAATAGCATTTCCTTATATGCTTTATTAAGAAGAAAATAAACAAATAAATTATATATGGAAATATTCTTACAGTATTACATATATTGCCTTATATTACATTTTTATATTGATATTATGCTGTTAAATATTTGATGCGTGATTTAATGATCAAAGGTTATTCATATCTTAAAAATTATACTAACCAGTTGGTATGTGACATAAGAAAGACATCTTTTAAACGCTTTTTGAACGTTTTGGACGTCTTTTGAACATTTTGGATGTCTTTGGAACTGTCAAAAGACATCTTTTTTTAAGTATTGTCCCCACTAGGTAGAACTAAAACTAAAATTGGAACTAAAAACTCTAGTTTTGTTGTTTAAATATACTTTAGGATGTATAAAATATTTATACATCCTAAAGTATATTTTTTTAATTCAAAATTCATGTCATATTTTTTATATATATGCATATATAAACATCATTATGACCAACATGATCATCATCATCATCGTCATCATCATCGTCATCATCATCATCATCATCATTATCATCATCATCATCATCATCATATCATCATCATTATTATCTGAACATTAACATCATTATCATCACCATCATCATCATCATCTGATCATCTTCTTTTTTGGCAAATACCATACCATATAAAAACTAAAGTTTATATAAGTATGAATGGATATTGTATATCAGCATCTAAATCTTGAGTACCCATGGTGCAGTGGTAGTGCACTTGCTACAGAAACAAAGGATCTTTGGTTCAAACCCCACCACTGGGCAAGTTTTGCAACATTGGTTAGGAAGGAGGCATGAACTTCTAATTAAATGTTCATCCACTGCACTCTCTGATAAGACTGTAAAGACTTCTTGGGGCTCCTAAATAAAATTAAATATATATATATATATAAAATAAAAAAATAAGTACATATATGTTTATATCCATAATATGTATGCATAAAGTGCATCTTAAAAGCTTTTATTTCTTCTGAATTAAAAGTTTGGAAGCTTTTATTCCTGCTCTTCAATTTTTAGTCAAGCCTCATTCTGCTCCACATTTTTCACCACCTTGAGCAGTTGCTTTATTAACCATTTATTTCATCTTGTTTACAAAAATATCTCTCTTAAGAACAAATGTCTTTCTATTATTCCAAGAAGCCAATGTAAAAAGGTCCCATTTGATGTTAAGTTCTGTTATTCTCAGTTTACTAAAACTTGTATCTTATAATAGATGTTAGGTTCAAGAGACTTTTAGTTAGTCTTCAACGATGTCATTAACTAAAGTTAGTCTAACATTTAATTTCTAATTCATAGGTCTGATCTTTTTACTTCTTTCCAGATTAAAGTAGAGTTATTTGCAAAGAAATCTCACTCTAATTTGACTTTTGAATCTAATGGTCATACTCTTCCTGTCAGTTAAAACAGATTAATATGCGCTTCAGACAAGATTTCCATCAGTTTTAAAAAAGTGTTCTCCATAACTCTCTTCAATTTTTGCTAAGGTTCCAATTTTTCAAAACTCTAGATAACACTTTGACCTCTCTTACCGTCTGCTAGATCAATTATCGCTTCTTCAAAATGATTCACCAGCACTTCATAATTTTCCCATACAGCAAAAACTGAACAGAAACCTGATGACACCTATTGCATTATTTCAAGTTCAATCAATTTTTAACAGCTGAATATTAGGTAAGTAATTCTGTGCATTAATGTAACTCTGCTATTTTTGAGAAGCATTATACACGACATAAAGCTTATAAAGAAATGATTTGAATCTATTAATATTTGAAATTTCCCTAACAGTAAATTTTCAGTAATAAATTTAAAAACACCACTTTTGCATCCTAACCTTACTGCTTGGCCATCACATATTACAAAAACTAAATAACTCTTCAAATATACTTTTG